TTTACCTCACTATCATCACTCTGCTTCACTGCCTGATATTTCTGTGTGCCTGCTCTACAGCCAGGTGCATTATTATTACAATAAAGGCAGACCAAACCTCTATCTTCCTGTGTAATTCCTGTAAAATTACAAATAATCCCAGCCTGAGGCTATGATAAAGGAAAAAAAGAAAAAATCTAATGCTCCCTTTTAAATAGAGTAGACAACATTCAGAAGGACATGACGGAGCCCAGCTTTTGAAATAAGGATGTCACACCACTACCCATTTTAGTTACACAGCAATTCAGGTATATTAATTGCTTATAGATACCTAGATTTAGGATTTATTTAAGGGAGCTTTACCTTGATAGATGCCAAGAACAGAACAGTTTGAAGTAGAGTATCCACTGATCCCTAATGAGACTTAAATTTGTAATTTTGTATTATATAGATATGTATAGATTTTATTATGTAATATATTATAGTGAACACAAATATTAGGGGTGTTCTGTGCTATCTTTGCAATACTGTATCACTGTTACTTTTCATCTCTGGCATACACAGATGTCTCTACCTAACAGCTGCAATGCAGATACCGTTATAGTATCAACATACTTGGATAACCAACTCTTTCTGCTCTTCAAAAACACAGCACTGCAATTATAATAAAGGAATTTTTATCTAGAAAACACCCACCCTTTTTCATACACAAAATGGCTTACTGGCCCCAGTTCTCTGCATAAATACTTACAGTGCTGATTCACCCCAGTTAAAGCAAAAAGGCTGCAAAAATAAGGCAATGAACAAAGACAAAGCTGACAATTTGAAGTGAACAAGAGAACAAAACAAAATCATGGTTATAATTATAAAGGGATAGTAAAGAGGGAGGCTGTAACTTCAGTGTGGAATAGCTATCCACAGATCTAAGAAGGATGTCCACACTGGGACAGGCCCCAGTTTAACTTAGAAATTGTCTGACTCAACTAAAGAGTTAATTCGATGCAACTAATAGAAGCTGAAAAAGACTATCTATACAAAGGGATTATAACAGTTTAACTCAAAAAGTCTTAAGAATTTAAATCAGTAATGTATACTATCATCAGTTATACACTTTAGATAATTATACAGAATGCAGGAACTATCAATTCCTCTAGGATAAGACTGCAAAGTGGGACAACTAATTTAAGTGTGCATCTTAAAGAAGTCTCTCAACACTCACTAACTCACCAAAATTCACTAATTCACTTACACAGTAGCATATAAATAGCTTCAACACACAGTATATGACCCTGAAACTACTTTGAGGATGTTTAAGAGAGCAAAAGCAATTCATGTCAGCTTTTTAACATGACTTCATACAGGCAGATTTACAGAGATGTAGTGGTACAAGAAAAGCTGGACATTAACTTACAGAATCATTAAAGTTGATTACATAGCAAAGGATTATCTCAAGATCATCTCAAAGCAAATTACTAGCAATTTAAACTCAACTACCAGTTTGTAATCTTATGTAAAGATTCAGAAAGCCAAGTAAATTTGGTTCAATTAATTTTTTATAACTACAAAGGAAAAACTAAACAACATCCCCTAAAGAAATGGCATATATAGGGGTGGCAGCACTGTAACAAAAGAAATGCTTGACCTAATTCTCCATGTTGCCAGTATTTACAGCCAGTTTAGAGCTTAGTAAATACCCTTTGCTCTTATTCAAGCGTTTGCATTTTCTTCCATGTTGTTCCTTGATGCATGTTTGTACGCACTTCAGACTTTCATCATCAGATTTCCTAACTGTTCCCCTTTACCCATTCATTTTGCACATACAAAATTCATAAAATTTGTATTTTGGGGTAGTACAGGTTATTGATACTTCATTGATACTTATGTTCGTTTCAAAAAACATCCAAAGGCTCAGGAAAAACCCAGTCTTCAACGATGCAAAACACACGTTAACTAGGCAGAACCTTGATTTTCTGATTTTGACATATTTCTGCCCTGTATTTTAACATTAAATCACTATATGTACAAAGTGCTTTCAGGAAGTATGGCTTACAGCACTGTAGATCTGCAGTATACAAAAATAATCAGCTTGTTTTATAAGCACTCTTAAGTCTTTTTATAGAATTTTCTTACATTTCCTGAATCCAAAAATTTTTTATGAACAGATGAACAGAATTTGAGACTTCTCAACTGCAGATTACATAATCTCTCAAATTTACACTAGGCTGGCTGTTAGCTGCCAAGATCCCACAGGTCTTTTTCAATTGTTGATACTAGGTTTGGAAATCTTAACTCAGTTTTGAGATTTACACATCACTGATTTTTTGCTTATTTGACATGATTTCAGCTGTTACAAAAAGTTTCATCTTTTCATCTAACAGACCATTCACTTGTTCTTCCACTACCAGAAATTGATTCACAGTCCAAAACAAGTATCTACGTCAATAGTTCTCTGCCCAACTTCCTCTGTTATGGCTCAATGAACTGTTCAGCTGTCATCTCACAGCTGCTGCTTCCCCAGCCCCATGCTCACCTACCATAACCTCCAAGTCAACACCTCTCACCTGCGGGTGCTTTCCAGCAATAGTCCTTTCTTCTGAAATCACAGTATCTATTACACCCCTCAGTTTACATTATGCTATATGATATTAGTCTAATCTATTCTTATTTTCATCTATGAGGCTGCCTTTTCTCTTCCTGCAAAACAGTTGCTCAAATATCAGTGAAGTTTTTCTCTTTTTCAAATCTTTCAGCTCCTCTTTAATTGACTACTGGCTATTTATAGTTAAGTCTAATCATCTGCCAGCAGTGTACCCAGGTGGCCAAGGTGGCCAATGGCATCCTGGCTTGCATCAGCATGGCCAGCAGGGACAGGGAAGGGATCCTACCCCTGCACTCAGCACTGGTGAGGCTGCACCTTGATTCCTGTGTTCAGTTTTGGGCCCCTCACCCCAAAAAGGCCACTGAATGACTCGAGCGTGTCCATAGAAGGGCAACAAAGCTGGTGCAGGGTCTGGAGCACAGGTCATACGAGGAGCAGCTGAGGGAATTGGTGGGGGTTAGTCTGGAGAAGAGGAGGCTGAAGGGAGACCTCATCGCCCTCTACAGCTACCTGAAAGGAGGGTGCAGAGAGCTGGGGATGAGCCTCTTTAACCAAGTAGCAAGCAATAGGACGAGGGAATGGCCTCAAGCTGAATCAGGGAAGGTTTAGACTAGATATTGGGAAGCATTTCTTCACAGAACAAGAATGGGCTGCCCAGGGAGGTGGTGGAGTCCCCATCCCTAGATGTATTTAAGAGTTGGGTTGACCCAGCACTGAGGTAAATGGTGTAGTTGGGAACTGTCAATGTTGGGTTAATGGTTGGACTGGACTATCTTCAAGGTCTTTTCCAACCTAGACGATTCTGTGATCTGCTGATAAACATCTGCTTCTATAAACAGTTTGTTTTCTCTAGCTTTTTTTTTTCTTCTCTTAAAGAAATTAATGATTCCCAGAGTCTCATTAATTTCATCAATTTATTTTCTCTTGCAAGAAACCACCTACTAGTTTACTTCTCCCTCTCTTTCACCCTTGTCCCACAAGTTTCTCCTAGAGAAAAGCAAACTCATTTTTAGTAATCTGGTCTCTTCCAAATTACCGGTAATATTTTAACTACTACCTATTTCCAGCATGCGAAGGGGCTTTGCTTTCATAAAAAAAAGAACATATGACCACATACAAGTTCACTGAAGAATGTTTCACCCCAGAGGAGTAAGTCTCTCCTTGTTTTAGTAATTTCTCTTTCTCCACAGACAATCCCCTTGTCATATCTTCTGACAATTGTTTTCTTTGCTTCCAAGGCATCTGTGTAGCATATTGGCACTTTCTGATCCTTTGCTATGCAATTCTCAGGAGTGACAAAGCGACAATGTCTGGTTTTCAGTCACTTAAGAGTTTCTATCCAGTTCCTCCCCCACACCCTTCTTAGCACTCCCTGAACAATGGGCAGTGGAAAAAGCTTAAATATAGCCAACAGTCCTTCTAGGGGGTCAAGCATGTAAGGAATTTTACAGCCTAGATTACCTAGTCTCCATCCATCCCCTCAACTAGCAAGCCCAAACTTACCTCCTATTATATTAAATTCATTTTAACTATTCATCTCCTTAACACTACAGGGCTGCACCTACTTTTACCTTCTTGGCTACTTCAGTTTTAGAATTTCTTCTTCTTCACAGCCATTAATGAGGTCACAGAGCTAAAAAACATAGAAGCCTGGGAATGCAGAGAAGTTACCAAATGTAACAAGCAAGGAATCTTACCATAGGCTGCTATGCAGGTGTAGGTATGTGCAGATTTAATACAGGAAACAGCACACAGCATACAGTATGTCAGAGGCAAAACATGGAGTGAAGAAATAAAAAAGCAGTTATTCTCTTAGACTATGTAAGTAGGTTTAGCTTGTCTAAACTTACCTCTGATGAATGAAAAAGCATCCATGACACAGATAAACAAAAGCTTTAAAGTAACTTGGCCTCTGCTGGACTAGCATGTGCAGCTGGGACTCTTTTGACCAATACTCTGGCTTTGCCTATGAAACGTTTTCTTAACATGACTGTATATACTTAATAATAATCAACCTAACTCCAAAGTCACTGTCCTCTTTGAGGCATGTGCAAGTCATCAGTTTGCAGTTGATATATTTACGCCTAGCGTTAAGGAATGTGTTTTAATGTGACTATTATATTTTCTGTGCTATAGGGCTCAGAAATAATATAAGGAGTCCAGAACTAGGTCCAATTTCTGAATCTGCTTCTCTTCCTCTCACTGATCTCACACTCTCACAAAAATATGCCCATTACTTAGCTGCATGACAGAAAACCATAGTGTGTAAAGGAATTTCAAAGTTTGGCAGGTAAATCAACTCTCCCTCTATAGATGAGAACTTGTTCCTTTATTTTCTCAAGCTTCTGACTGGTATTTCTCATCACAGCTGAGGCAGCTTCTATTTTCTTGGATCCAAACTACTCTGAGAATTTTAGAAAGATGTGTTAGTTGAGAGGAAGTCAATCGTTGATTTCTGTCACTGAACAGGCAGAATATGCTTCTGTCTCTGCCGAAGCTGTTTTACTCCACAATACTAAGTCTAGCCTTCTTAAAACTCCAATTTTCCCTTTCCAAGAATTTCCTCTGCACTAACTGACAGCTAGTGAAACTAGATTCTGAAACAGCAGAATAGGCTGAAGCAGTCACAGTTATTTGCTATTATCTAAACATGTGTTAAGTACAGGTACTGGGAAAATGTGGGGGGTTTTATTTTGTTTAAAATACCTGTTTTGGAGGATGCCTGTTCAAAAGATGTGTCTGTTAGGTAAACAGGTCTTTGATGGAAACCAATCTTTACTTGGCCTCCCCAGCTGCAACTAAATTCAAAGATTCCTACTGAAGGGTGCAATAAACACATGTATATATTATCAGCTGAGACATTTGTCTGAAAAATACTTGTTCCCAGCTTTATGCTGTAAACCATTTAATCTCAAGCAAGATTTCAGAGCCATGTATCTTCAAATGTTACAGGAACAGCTCCTGGAAAACTAAGTGTCCCTGATGACAGAAATTATTCTAGGCAGCTTGTAGTGACAAAGCACCACCATAGTCTGATGGTTCTCAAATACATATGCCAATATGGATTAAGATTTGTGAGGTTTTTTCCCCAGCAAATAAGTATATCTATGTGAAAACAAACCTGTATCAAATCAACAGCAATAAAGTACCGTGGCATTACTGTTGCATGCATATAGGGTAGAGTCCTAAAATAAAAGTAGAAACTTGTATCACAAAGACTACATAGGAAGCTGAGGAAAAACATTCTCCATCCTGGCTAAGCCACATTAGAATAGTGATTGTCTTTTGAGTCTTTATTGCCTTATCTCCCAAGCTTTCATTTCACATCACCTAGAGTTTTCTAAACCAATGCAAAAAGACAAATTACACACCTACCATCACCATTTCGATAGCCCAGAAGCACTGCAGGATAATTAACAGTTCTTCAGTTCTGGCAAAAGAAGTAGAACAGACTTTATAGGACAGGGACAGCTAGGTGAAGCAATCTGCTGCTGAAGCCATCTCTCTGAACCTGACAATAACTGAGACTACTACTTGAGCCTCACAGATGCACTATCATCTGTATGTATTATAGAGAGAAAAATAGGCCTTAAAGAGCTAATATAGAAAGAAAAACTAAAATAAAGAGGTAAAAATGCACAGACTGCAAAAATCCAGTAACCTGCTCAAATCACCATGTCATCCAGACTTAAGTTTCACAGTTTTGTGTCTACTCTGTGGTCAGCCAGCTCCCTTGGTTTTAGCTTTTCTGATCACTTCTATTTCTGAAGTCTTCTTTCCTAGCCTGTAGCAACTGCCATGTGCCATTTCTAGATCAGATGAACACATTCACTTTCCTTTGCACCATTTCCTATGAAATTCCTGGCCTTCCTCATTACAGAAGACAGCAGATTACTGAGTGAAACAGGATACTAATCAGCCAAGAAAGTGAAATAAATAAGAATTAAGCAAGCTAACAACCAAAAGATGGTTCAGCATCTGTACCAGTGGCTCAGATATCCATCTTAGTTTTGCTAACTCTGACAGAGTGTAGCAAAACAGCAGCAAATACCAGAAGGAAGATCTTGCCGAACATACTTCTGCAAATGCTTGTGAGTGAGACTGGCAGTCATTGATGGACCTGTTTAGATACTCACCCAGCAGTGAAATAATAAACAAAACTCAAAGCTCAAGGGAAAAAGACTACTATTTTTGGAGTAAAGTATCCAACAAAAAACAGCTCACAAACTGGCTCTTCCTAAGTGTGCTACATCCTCACCTTCCCTCAGTTATCACAGTAAGCACAGATCACAGAGTATTAATATCCATTTAGCATTTGCTTTGTTTAACAAGGCTTGATAACTCTGGAATACTGGGCATAACTAAGAAAAGGCAGCTTTCCAGAGATGCTGTATGAAAGGGTAGTGTAACAGCCAAGGAAGAACCCAGCTACAGTGGTGCTGTTCTCAAGTATTTAAAACAAAACCATAAACATTTACTGCAGCAGCACCATGCGCAAACCAGCTAAATCAGGTTGATCATTTAATCTGAGGGTAATTTATGTAACAGAACAGTTGATTTTACAAGGTTTGGTTTGAGAAAGGGAGAGTAATATATTTGTCTTGTTTCTTCACTTAAATGAGAGAAGGAATTGAAAGATATCTATAGGCCAAATACCCCTGCTATGTTCATTTTACGGACTCTCAGTCTTTTGCTTTTCAAAAAACTGTCACAGAGCTCTCTGTTGACACTTGTCAAAATTGACATCATGAGGTGTCAAAATTTAAAGTAAAAAGTGTCAGGCAGATATTTTTCTCCACAGTTCTTGTCTCAAGCACAATTTTTAAGCAATTTTATTCTGCATCACATGACTTCCAAGCAAAGCTTGCCCATCAAACATGCTTCTATTTGACTATTTATTACTGTCTGTATAAGCAAAAAACTGTACTCATGGACCCACGCACATAGATAGATATATATATATATATATATATATGCGCGCATAAAGTCAAGGTGTGAAGATACAGGGCCACACAGATTAAATATCTGCTCTAAAAATCTTGACCAAAGACATACCAGAATAATGTCAATTCACATGGGTTTCCCCACACACCACTTTCATAAAAAAGATCAGAAAGCATCTTTTTAGCCAGAAGATGTTTTAGAATATCTGTGAGAAGTCCCAACAAGTCTGAAAGTTTATTTCCAATTTTTCAAACCCTAAATCACAGAAACTAACTAGGCAAGTAGTAAACACCTAGGTATCTGTGAGCATATGTAGACACAGAAAACTCCTGTTTATCAGGAAACAAAGTACTCATGTTGGCCTTAACAGACAAGTGTGCCAGAGAGATTCTGTCTTTATTCTGGAAAACCTCCACTCCTTCTAGCTCAATGCCGGATGTCTCTATGGAGACAAAAAGCTATATTTTGTTAGCCTGAGACTAGAACAAACCCAGAGGAACAGCAATGAACAGCTGCGGGACAGAGAGCAAGCGGTTTAGTTTACACTTTGCTAAATATATATAGATTGAATGAATTTGGGTTCATCAGTGTTGTTTATATTAAAACCAAATCTCTCTTACTAAGGCAACTTGACTGTAACCACCCTTAGAAATTAGTGTCTAGGAAACATCTATACACCCCAGAAACGAAGACATAAAACCCAGCAATTATGCAGTACAATTAGTCACTCTTGGCTTGCAAATTGATCCTGGAGCAGCTTTGTTTGTAGACTCCATAACCTTTAGAGAAAAGCTTGTAGCACACTTAAATTCTGCCCAGGGCCACCTCCCTTTTTAAGACAGGAAGAGTCACCAGTCATATTTGATGAATGATAGATACCTTATCTCTGCTTGGTACCTAGTGTTACAGCCTGGAACCAACAGCATTCAGACTGCGTCCTCTTAAACAAATACAGATCTTAAGTCAACACTTACAAGCAATATCGCAAAAGTGTCTTGATAGCTGCTAGTTAATCACTGTATAATGCAAAATCCATTTCTGCTACAAACTGCTTTTTGAGATTTCATAAAGAAAATATGAATAAGCTTACTAAAATACACTGAATGTGAACAAAAACAGTGGAAGATGAGACAAAAATAGGAACTATTGCCTGAGGCAAGTACCGGATGGCTTGAAAGTAGAAACACTTTGTAAGGAACAGCAATTCTGCTCCTCCACCCACTCCTCACCCATCCTAAAAGTTCCTAAACTGAATCCATCCAACCTGAGGACAGAAACAGTGACCAATGATTTTATAAGAATGCCAAGACTTCAAATGCAACCTTGTAGCACATCGAGGACAGGACAGCAAAGTGTATGCAAAACAGAACTACTACTTCATCTTCAGAAATACAGTGAAATTGCAGCTAATTGTTACTATTACAAACAAAATCACTCTCTCCTGGGATCAGCGATCCAGTCTTCTGAACTAGAAAGTAAAAGTTTTAACCTAGCAACAGGAAGATTCAGAGACAGAAAGGGTATCAGAAATCTAGCTTTCCACACAGTCTGGGAAAAAACCCACCAAAATATTACCTGCTGGCATTCTTTGGAAAAAGATGAAGTCAGCTTTTCTCACAGGAGATACAAATATGATTTACTAGAATGCAGACACCAGATAGCAGAGAATAACGCATTTTAAATCTTTAGGGAATTGAAGCATAAAGTCTTTGCCTGTTCAGAAGAAAAAAAACCACACCAACCAAAAACCAAAACCACACCTGACACCCAGAAAAAGCTACAAGTATGTTTTTAATTCTCATTGTACCGTAGTAAGTATTCTGTGCTACTCTGTATTCTACAAACTGCACCCTGAGGAGCACTTAGTGCAGTTTGTAGCTCTTTTGTTGAATTGCCAGAGATCAAACAGCTTATTTGAGAAAAAACCAACACATCCAAATGCAAACCTACAGCTTTCATTAAAATCCTTCAAACATTTTGCTGTGTAGAAGTATTGTGCAGTTGCACTGCGTTAGTCACAAGTTGTGTCTCATTCAGAAACTGGGGAAAAGTTACCCAAATATGAGACTTGGAACTGGAAAAAGGAAAACCTCAATCACTACTGTCTCTACCGGGTGTCAAAATACTTTAACAAGCAGAACAGCAAAGTGTCTGATGAAGATTGAAACACTTAAAGACATTAATAAACTATAAATTATCATGTCAGTTTACAGTGCACAAAGTTACTGTTCACACAGGTTCTGCATAGTCTTAGTTCACAGACAGTATAGTGATCTACTTCACATTAGCTGAGACCAAATGATGCATCCGTACTTTATAGATAATAAAATGAACACCTGTGGCCTCTCACATGTAGATGGTTAACAGCTACTCTTGAACAACCAGGTTAATGCTATACTTCTCACCTGATCTTCTTCTTCATCCTCTTCATCTTCTGCCAAACGCTGCCTGCCCACTTCATACAGTCTGCAAACTGTATCCATGTTCATGGCATCCATGCTCCCTTGATTCTGAAGAGGAGATGCCCACACAGCAGTTAGCCCCAGGAATTAGCTCAGCATTCATATTCAGTGCTTTATCGGATCTCAATCACAGAAACATTACCAAACTCCTTCCCCCCCACTTACTAGCAGCAGTACAATTAGCACTAAACCCAAGTCTTTTTGGTTTCAAGGACCTGCCTAGGGGTGATGTAAAAAATATCTACTTTCTGGTTCTGTCATCCATAAGTTACACTCTTACCAGCAGACTTCAGAAAATCTTTACTGGATCCTTAACGTGCTTTGGGTTAGCTCTTACCTAACCACAGACTTTCTTTCAAATTTGCCTCCTTATTACATCGTTGAACCATGCCTTGGAAGAATGCTAAAAGCTGTCATATAGCAAGAGTTCCAGAAGACAGCAACCACTGCTGCCACATGCCCCGAAAAAACATTTCCAATGACCCCTATAAGAAAATTTTCCTATCTTGACCTCACAACTTTGACAACTCAAACTCCAGTAGTTACACATGAAGCTTGCCCTACTATAAATTCTTGACACACTTCTTTTGATCTGTAAGGATCAGTGGTTCAGAGAGTATTAAGTCAACAGGATTTCAAATTAGTCACTACACGTACATAGTCAGGTTCAAGAAATGGGTACTGACAACATACTATTGGGCAAAGAACTGGACCCATTAGTTTAATTTTACTTCCCCCTAACAAACCAGTTTTGCTCAGTAATTTTTGCTTCAAATCCTTAGCTTCTGGGATTTTGCTAGGAAAACTAGTGAAAAAGGAAACAGTAAGACTGATTCATAGCAAATCTCCATGGAAAGCCCCAGGAAGATTGCATTTCCTGGTTATTTGTACAATGCAAATTTTATTGCTATAAATAGGAAAAAAATGCATTTCTCTATGCTTATGAGAAGGAAAACCTCTGCACATTTTAAAGGGGGACATGCCTGAAGAAGAGAAGCAAATGTGTTTGGAAGTTTAAGGAACAGGAGGCAGAAAAACAAGACTGATGTGGGTGGACAACAAAAAGCTAACAAGATCTTTACCATCATCAAAACACCACCACTGCTTAGGACATGAATTTAACAGTACTCCAGATCAGTACTCCAGGAACTCCAGAATCATAAATTCTGAAGGTTTTAAAAAAAGAAATAAAAAGCATTGCACTCAAACCACAGCTACAGAGACTAGAGTTTATTCTTAGCTCTCTTACCTCAATGACAGCCAGATAGCAGTCCTTGCTGTCTGTGCACAAGTCAAAGATATTTCGCTTTACATCTATGGTAGCTGGAAAACATCACAAAACAAACTCACTGGTTAACTGCATATTACGCTAGCTGAATGAAAATTATTTTTATTATTTCTATTATGCTAGCTTAATGCTAGCTGAAAGAAAAGATCTAACAATATATGTCTAAAAGCAGATAATAAAATGTTGGGACAAGAAACAACAGCTGAAATAAAAGCGAAATGAACATTTATAACTAATTCAGTTGTTGGAGACTTATAAAAAAGTAGCCAGGTAAGTTCTTAATCTATTCTCCTCCCTTGATAATACATTTATTGGCTTCTTTAAGCACAGTAAACAAGAGATAATCTTCCAGTGTAGGTGACAACCAAGGGAATGAGCCATGGCTCCTTTCAATAGCAAAAGCCACGTCTGTTTATATCTGTAGCAACAATTAGCTTAGGTCCAGAAGCTTTGCAAGCTGGCAGCCAAACTGACAGTATTTTGAAGTACCAGCATGGGGAAATGCTGTTGGGAAAGGTAGAAAAAATTAAAATAGAAGACAAAAAAAAGGCCCTTCCTGAAATGAGACCAATGACAACTTGGCCAAATGACCTACTATCTCAGATTATGCCCTACTTGGAAAGAAGAAAGGAAAATAAAGCCAGAACTGCAAGGAAGACAATCACACACTGAACAGAGTATGATGCTTAAACCTATTTCAGCGTTAGACCCAACTCTCGTGCTTCAATCAGAACAGGTCATAGCACAATTTGGTTTGTTACACATGCAAAGGAGAGGAGAAAGTGAACGTTCCTAAGCAGAACTGTCAGTAAACCTTCAAACCAAGCTATTTGCTCCTCTCTTACCTATAGGTTTATAATCAGTTGCATTAAATGTCCTGAAAGAAGAGCCAAAGGGACTTCTCATTCTCTCCTCCAGAAGGTCATCTTCATCATCTGCCTGCAACATAGCTGACACAAGAAAAGATTATTCCATAAATCCACCTTCCATCCATCACTATCATTCACTAACTTAAGATCAAATTTGAGTCAGATGTGAGTTTTCTTTCTATTTAATAGCTTGGCAAGACCCATTTAATATCTACTCTTCCAGAGGTACCTTTATTAATACTGCCGATCACTGAAGCTTAATACAGAGGACAAAATTATTTTCTCAGGCATCATCAGATCTGCCATTATAGACATTTTCTTTTTCAGTAGGTTGATTTTTAATCTCACAAATTAGTTGTGATATTGCTGATGTTAGAGAAACTGTCTTTGTCAGCAATACTCACAGCATAAACATCCTGAAAAAATTCCACTTCACACAGTAAGGCCTGGAGTTAGACAGACTCTCTGAAGCTTCCGATTCCACTGAACAAGCATCTACTTATCTCAAACTAGAGGTGATCAAGGAGAGTAATATAAGATTGAGAAATCCTACCTCCATACATAACTGTGCCAGTATAGTTGAACACCACACGACACTGATCCAGTGCGGGTACCGTGTGTAACAAATGAAAAGTTCGGAGGTCCCACTGAAAAAATAGAGGCTAAGGAGCAACAAACAATTGAAAGTTTCTATTTCCTTTTTAACACAGTGACAAACAACTGATTGTGTTCAGGAAAATTCACTGCCACCCTCTTGCAAGTATGACAGAGCTGGAATCGGATTCTAGCACCACAATCCCTTCCCCACATTCAAAATGAAAAAGCTCTTACTCAAAATGTCATTCCCAGTCATGAGAGGTTACTGCAATAGCTTTGAGGTTGACCTTGGTAAGGGATAGGAAGAGAACAGAGGTACCGCAGCATGTTAGAAAAATCTCTTGCTCTCTCTGTGTGTTAAGTGTTTTCTCTAGGCCATATAAGAGGCAGAATCTAGATTTAAATTAGCTATTTGTCTGGCAGTCCCCACTTAATTGATTCACAGACAAAACCTGTTGTTACATGTAACACATCAGGCTATTAATACAACTTCTGCAAACAGCTACTTGTTTATCAATACAAATTCTTTGAGTCCCAGAACATCAGCTACCACAGCGGCCAAAGGATACAATTTCTGTGTTGACTATGACCTCTAACCCATTGGGATGGAAAACACCACTGATGGTCATGTTGAATTTGTCAAACTTGTGGATGGCTTGCGCCGATCTGACATCCCAGAGGACACCATCATTTAGGACAAGGTCATCAGTGGGGTTAAATGTGGCACAGTTCTTCTTGTAGTTGTTGGCAAGATCTGGGTTAAACAGAGTCAATAGCTTGTTGCCAGTCTGAATATCATAGATCTTTTAGATTAAAAAGAAAAAGAAAGATTAGTCACAATTTGTAATATACAAATCACCCCACATTCCCCCTTCTAGATTGTTTTCATAATCACCCCATTTTTCATTTTGCTTTTCTATTTCAGTGAAGCATTCACTTTCAGTGAAGTGAGAGCATTTCAAATACAACCCTTCCTACCAGTCCTTTAATAGTTTTTCACAGCTGGAACCAAGTCTCACACATGTTTCAGCCAGTACTTAGCTTACTGCAGGTTCACTGATACATTTCAATACAATCAAGATTAGTTCCAAAGCAACCCATTATGAGAAGTGGGATATGAAGCTGCAGGTACCACTTAGCCAGAAACTGTTTCAGAAATGGAACTGCTTTCAGAACAGATCATATTAAAAAAAAAAAAAAAAACCTCCAAAGCACAGTGAGGGAAAAAAAAAACCAGAAGCCATAGAAAAGGAGTTAAAGTTCCTGGCATTTACACAGGAAGGCAACTTTCTGAGCTTTGCCTCAACAAACTGTTGGAAGATAAAAAGGGCTTTAACTAATATGAAGGGTTTATAACTATCTCAGATAAATCTGATCTACAACATCCCTCAGAGCCTAGCTCCTATTCAAACTTACAGAGAGGAAAAAATTCTCTAGAATTGGAAAATAAATCTGTTTACCAGATAAACACAATACACAAACTGATCTGACTTTCATATAAATCCAAGTTAAGAACTGGGCAGTAATGGGCAGTTTGCTTTAACAAATCAGAGCAGTAAGTAAGATCATAAATAATCTGAATAAGTTATGTTTCATGACAATTTTTAATGCAAATACTCTTTTGAAAGAGTCAGTGCCTATAATGAATGCAAATTAGCACTGAGAAGCAGAAGAACACTGAAACCTGCATCTGTCAAATTTGCAGGTATTCATACAAAACCCTTCAACAGCATTCTCTCAAAATACATAGTAAAATTAAATTACCCAAAAAGAATGCTGCAAACTGGGGGAGGGGGGAGCAGGGCAAAAGGAGGACACTTTTAATAGGCCATTTCCCACAGCTTTTGACTGAGCTACTGTTTACTATTTACTTTTATTATTATTACTACTATTACTGAAAAATAAGGCAAAGGAAGCAACTTCAGGAAGAAAAAGTGTCCTGCATGATCTCTCTCCAATGAACAAAACAAAGCAGATTATATCATTTCCCAGAATCCTAACAACAGAGGCAACACACTGCATGGCTTGTGCCTAAGTTGGCTTAAAGTGGTCAAGTTTATACCCTTAAAAAAAGGAAGAAGTTATCTGACACTTTCAAACCTTTCCTCTAAAGCCTCTTAGCTCATCAGTTACACAGAGCATCACAGAACCCAGATCTGTTAATAAATGTCCTGTGAAGAACTATATTCTTGTCACAGCTTCACACCATCACCTTTTTTGGTACTTACATGGGCAATGTCTCCTTTTGTGCCAATGACCCTATCCTGAGAGTGCTTGCTGAACTCCACATAGTGGTCATCAGGGAAGGAATGCCTGTAGATAGAGTCAGTAAAGAAATCAAGGAAGTGCAGATTCACACCACCTGTGTTAACCAAACACTACCCCAACACCTCTGGCAGAGGTTTCAACAATGCAGGAAGCAAAAAATGTAAAAACAACTTTCCTTCACCATTGACCATGGCATACTACAATGCTAAAATGCTCCATTATCAGGAAAAAAAAATCTACTACAGAGACTTTATGTGAAAAAAAACACAGGCAGCAAATTCACAGACTTGTCATCAACAGGGTCTGCCATAAACGTAACACTATCTAGGGGAGCGAGCAATAAATGGCATCATGAACATTCAAACACACATGCAAGACTGAAGCACATTAATCTTTTTAATCTAAAGAATGCCCACTAGCTGACTTAAAACAGGTCACACCAAAATTGTTTACAACTGAGATAGAAAACAGTCAAATCTTTTAAAAATTAAGAGCCTTCCACACATATTTTTATGAGAAAGAACAATACTGAAATCAATTTTAAATAACTTTCTCCAGGTCTGAAAATTTCACTATGCAAATCACCATGCTAGTAAAATTCTGTAACTGGCTACAGAAAGCCTGTCAAAATAATTTACAAACATGAGAATAAAAATACAAACATTTATTTGCCTTCAGGGACAACAGTGATTTTACTGATATATCTTGTATTAAACAGGACTTCAGATAGTTAGAATTTAGCAAAGCTGCCTGTAGCAAATAAAATAGGGAAAATAACAAATATAAGAAAGGGAGCACATTTTACTTTTTCACAAGAGACATTGTGAGACCTGTGCTGTACTGTTCTTTCACAGACATTGTTCTTAGGGTTTCTGCCTATATTGAACTGCAACATACCCCTCAGCTGAATCAGAGAATACCTACTTCATATCAAAGACAGACTTCATGCCCCACAATGCAGACAGAGGTTGGCTCCATGTAGCAGATGTCAACAATAAAGATCCATCCTGTATTTCCAGATGGGAGTGGAAGGGGAGAAAGGGAAAAGAATACCAGGGAAACCAGAGGTTATCATTTTACCTGTACACATTAAACTTAGATTTACAAGGTGAATTTAGGAACTATAGCAGATTGTCCTGGTTTTGGCTGAGACAGAACTAATTGTTTTGGGTTTTTTCATTCCTTCTTAGTAGCTAGAATAGTGCTGTGGTTTGGATTCAGTATGGGATTTGGTATGAAAAGAATGTTGATAATGCACTGATGGTTTTAGTTGTTGCTAAGAAGGCCTTTTCAACTTCTCAAGTCCTGCTAGTGCACAAGAAGCTGGGAGGGAGCACAGCCAAAACAACGGACCCAAACTGGCCAATGGAATATACCATATCATATAACATCATGCCCAATATACCAATAAGGGTTCATTGGGAAGCTCTACTTGGGTTTTCAGGACGTTGGTTTTAGTATTCTCCCTTCTCTGGGATCACTAGCCAGGAATGGGCTGGGCATTGGTCAGCAGGTGGTGAGCAACCATATTGTGTGTTACCTGTTTGTATTTTCTATTATTACTATTATCATTATTATTTCAATTTTATTTCAATTATTAAATTGTTTTTTTCTCAACCTACAAGTTTCCTTACCCTTACCCATGCAACTCCCTCCCCCATTCCCCAGGGATGGGGGAGGGTAAGCGAGCAGCTGTGTGATGTTTGGCTGTTGGCCAGGTTTAAACCATGATACAGATTTTGTGCTTACTAAACTACTCCTATGGGGATGAAGTCTAGGTTTCTAATACCATCCAGAATATAAAAAGCCCATGGCAGACAAAAAAAACCATTACAGATAACAATAGGAATTATCTATGACGTTAATAGATAAAATCAGATAATCTATGCCTGAATTTTGATGCCCTGTGAGTGGAGTTAATTCTGCTTATAAATCAGTTATCTTTTTTTTCCTTCCTAGAATCAGCCCTCAAAAGATTTCTTTTCCAACAAAGAGAGGTTATATAAAGTTTGATAACTTATCGCACATTTATCTTACATAGCCAGTTAAAGCATTTCTCCATTTCCAGACATATATTTTCATTATTTATGAGGGCACACAGACACTGTGCATCTTCTCCATTATCTTGGGAAGAAAAAAAAAACAAAACTGTAGAACTTACAGAGAGGGAGTATGTAAATATCCAGATGGGCTCAAAACATACCAGATCTCAGGCTGTGAGAACTTCTGTAACTCAGAACAGATCACTGATTACTTACCCTAGATGGCTCAAGGTGCGTGATGGCAGAGTTATGGCAGTTGTAACTGGCCTCTTCCTGTCCACTGAATACATTATAGAGTTTCAACTGCCCCGTGCAAGTACCCAGCATTAAGAATCGTTCTCTTGCAGAAAATGCACAACAAGTAAAGCCACTCTCATCCTCATTTGCTTCCCTGAACACAGAAATCGGACGGAACCTAGAGAAGGTAGAAATATAAGGGTCACCCAAAAGAGAAAAAAAAAAGCGAAATTGAAATACTGTGTGATGATATTAAATCCAGTCCTTAATCATGTAGATGCAAGTTACATCTTTCTTCTAGGACAAGCTGTCAATTGTAAGACTAGCACTCAAGTGAGTATGTTACCGCAGTGTTTGCAATGTTTCAGGGTTTGTTTTGCTTTCTTAAGTACTTCTGTTTAAGCACATCATTAAGCTGAAGCACTTGGGAGTCCATCTTCAAAGTTGGATTGAGAGAAAAACCTGTAAAGCTGTCACCTGGATAGCAAAAAATTTCTAACAGTTCTGAAACACTCAACACAAGAAAGCACGGCACATCAGCCAAATAACCTGTCATCACAATTTCCCAAGGTGATACTTGTTTCACTGTGAGGATGCTTTCATCTATGTGTCATCTTTATTTTTATAAACTTTACATCATCTTCCAATTCAACCTCAGCAAAGAAAAGCCATGTAAAAAGGCTAACAACTGGTGGTGCTGCGGAATCAGCTGCAACAGCAATATATGGATTCTGCTGTCCTGCATCTGTCAGACAGCCATCCTCCAGGCTATGCTACACTGTCATTTAAAACTGGCATGACATACTTACCTTCCAAAGGAGAATAAAGAGCCATGAGCTTTATCAGTCAATGTTGCTAATGAATTAACATGAACTGAAAATAAAGTGTGCTTTATGTGCTAAGGGTCAGTACTAAGGACAAGAGAAACAGAACGACTTCTAAAAATGCCTTTCAAGGCTCTCCCACTTGTCACTGTTGAATTAAAACACTTTTCTCTCCGAGTATACTCCACTGCAGGACTGCACAGCCTAAATCCAGGTAAGGCTTTGTGGCACAGGGTACATCCTGAGAGGGATCAAGAGACGCTTTTCTTCCTTACCTGCTAAATATAAGGTGTCTATCAAAGCAGCCACCATCCACCCCTCCATATTTCGGAAAGGCTGCCCTGCGGGTCAGCCGTGAGGTAAAGTTAGTTGGCGCTTGGCGCCTCTGTTTTGGCTCAGGACACTGGTGGGGAGTAAAGAGAGAGAAAGGGGGACAGGTGGCAACAGGGTTCTTGCAGCGGGCGTGCTGCTCCCTAAGGTACTCTGTGATTATACTGTCCAGCGTGGGTGGGGAAGGAAGGTGTCTGTCCAGCTGCTTTTTGATAGCTGGGCTCTGGCTGTAGGCACCATGGTCCGATTTTTGTCGCAACACTCTGATTTTCCTGCCGTTGCAGGGAGACGGCCTCTCCCTGACAAAGCTAATCCTGCCAATCAGAGGAGAGTTGCTGGCATAGGAAGGGCCTGGAAGGGCCAGTGGACCTTGGGATGCAGGCGGCCTTGCCTGAGCATGGACAGAGGTGGCAGTGGAACCTACAGAAGTGTGGCTACTCAAACGGGCTGAGATGCCATTAGCTATGCGAGGAGTGCGAGGCAGGGTCACAGGAGAGGCAGCAGCCGCAACAGGGGTGAAGGCAGATGAATGAGATGCTGCAGTCATGGGCAGGTCAGCCTCCTTAGTAAGGACAGATGCAGTTTCCCCTAGGCCCTTAGAGATGAGATGGTTCCGAATCAGGAGCAGCAGCTCCTTCTCAGGAAACGTGATCCTTGACTGGGCCACCACATCCGCTTTCTGCAACCGAGCCAGAGAGACATCTGTGCCGATCAGCAACGGCTTCCCCGAGACACGCTCTATCAGCTCAGCAGCATATTTGCAGAACTTCACATGCTCGCTGCGCTTGTCCTGAAGCACCGGCTCTTTCATCAGCTGCTGAATTTGACAACTGCTGAAGAGGGGGAGCTTGCTGATAATCTGCCGGACAGTACTGCTGCGCGAGAGCCCCACCAAGGCTTTGCAGGCTAATGCTCGGATCTGATCCGCATCTGTGATCGGCATCTTTATAGACAGCAAGGACAGCAGCACTTTGATGCCATTGTTGGACTGTACCACATTCCACATCTTAGCTAATGTGTGCTCACTGCTCTTGGGGGCCTGAGGCAGCTTTCGCCGAGGAGTTCCAGAGATGAATTTGCCAATACTGGAGATCCGATTATCTGGCCCACATACACAGTTGATGATGATCTGAAGAGCTGATTTCTGAATCTCAGCATCATGGATGAAAAATTCACCTTCAGCAACTCCAAGGATGATACTAATACCTAGTGAGGGAAAGAAATAGTTTCTTTAGTACTCTGAAATTTATCTTATGCAGTTCATCAGACAAGTAAGGGAGCCTTCCAAAAATGAGAAGTAAATAGGTAATTCTCTTCATTCTGGAATTTCTGAAGTTATGCTAACTAATGCAAGATGTATTAATCTACCTTACTGGCAAAATGCTTTCCTACATTGATGCCCCTCCACTTCAGCATCAGCAAGTAGGGAGTCAAACAAACTTTCAGAGAATGTGATCAGGCACGGCCCAGGAATGCACAATCTGAGATACCTTGCAGAGAGAAAGATGCACGGGCATGCCTCTGATCCTTACTGCAGAAAGCAATATTGTATAAATATTGCAATATTGCAGAAATATACAATACTGCAGAAAACAATACTGTATAAATACTAACAAAGTGGAAACAGAAAGGAAGGGGACTGTGTTATGAAGGAAAAAAAATTAATCATATCACAGCTTCCAAAAGGAGTCAGACACAAAGAAAACTTTGGGGGTTTTTTCCCCCCCAGAGGTCCCGTTCCATATCCACTTCAGAAGATCAAAACCTTCACTCAAGAAAGAATCGGTGTTTTTTCTAGAGAAAGGTTTTGTGCAAAGGAAATTGTCTTTTGCCTATATCTAGTACTCTGCCTGCCTTTTATTTTTCTTCTCTTAAAAAGAAAGTCAGCACAGCTAACGCATAAGCCTTAGATGTGATCCACGCACATCTCACTTATTTTCACAGTGAATCTGTAGGTAGCCAGTTAGAGCATAACTCAAACAGCAATAGTCTCCCATATTCTCAAATGCCATATCCCCAGGAGACCTACATTTCTGAGAAGTTGAGGGAACCTAATAGTCCCATTATGAAAGTAGATTTGCCTCCATCTGTATTTAATGAGCTCTTGAAGAGAAGCACAAGTCAAAGACCATGCTTTCAAATTTGTAATCCAACCACAGTGATAATCATGAACCAATTTTAACTAGTCTACTCTCCCATTTATTTGCATCCCTGATGGTAACTCTAAATACATTAATTATTTTAACCCTTGTCTCACTGGAGACAAGAAACAGACAGCTAAAAACCATGTAGCAGAAGACAATGAATAAGTCAGTCATCAGGACCATATTCAGCTTACCCACAGTGGAAACAGTAGATCCAGCTTCATCTAACACATCCACAGGTTCTGCCAGCTGCAACTGGATTTTAGGAACCACAGTCAGGATGGCTAGTACATCCAATGCATACCGTACTGTGTCATTCCTGGAAGACAACAACAGCAGAACTTCCTAGAGGTGTACATGTAGAGCTGTTGCAATAACATAAGATAGTATTTAATCTACTCTACTCCAACAAATAGGAGTAAATCAGTCACATCTGATGTTTTTGATGGTGCCTTTTGCTTTTAGAATATTCCACTCTTAAAGGGCTAGTCTACACAAAAGGCAGTGCTCACATACATACCACTGCTTGCAGTCTGTCAACATTTAGCCCACACTGCCCACAGGCTCCTAAAAGCACTCTAATTTTGTATTCATAAAAATAAGAATGTTAAGTCTTATCCACAAAGGCACTCTAAATTAAGCTTCTAGATCTAATCTAACTCTACATCTTCACTGGGGAATCACTGCTGTCTAAAATACCCTGTCACCAGTCAACTTCTGAAGGAAAGGGAAACTGCTTAGCAGTAAAACAGACAATTGTGACAGGGAAAAAGGCATCAAATTATGCACCAGGGTAAGGGACACAAAGGTGTGTGGAAGATGAAAAGGGCTGTTAAAGGTGAAAAAGCAGAACAATGCAAGAAAAGGGAGGAGAAGGCTTGCAAGCCTTCATGGAAAGGTAGGAGTTAATCCAGGTAGCAATTAGGAAACAGCTGCAGACAGTAAGAAACAAGAGAACAGAAACTACCCGGGAGAGTGCAACCTGAGAGAGGGGAGGGCAGGCAGGGAGGCAGGGGATTGCAGAAGCAAAACAGATTTCAAAGGCTTTTAAGTTAGGCAAGGAGCTCCTGCAGGCAGCAGAAATAAGGAGGAGTGAGTCCTGGTGAAAAGAATGTTGTTGATGACAACTAGGTATAGCAGTGACTCACCAGTGAGCATATCTCTAGAGAGGACTACAATTTCACTCTGGGGAGCAGATGGTCATTAGGATAAAGAGGTTAGAATCTTGCACCCATCCTCCTTTTGAACTGGGGACAGGATCCTAATGGTATTGTGAGCCTGGTGGCAGTTCTCTTTCTTTCATAACAGTAAGGATGCTGCAGATTTTTCCAGGGTAGGGAGGTGGGGGGAAGAGGTGCCACAGAAAGATAACAGAATACCATAGTGCCCCCACAGCTTGTCTGCAGCCAAGACAAGAGAGAAACTTAAAAGTGGCATCATAAGGTGAGCCCCTCTACCAACATGTTGAATTTAACAGCTGGTTGTGTATCATCTAGGGACATGAACCTGAGCAATGCACAGTAACAATCTTCAGTCTTTTTCTTCTCTCAGACACTGTTGCAGTCACACAACACCTTTGCAGAGTTATATCTGCTCAGTAAATTTCAAATACCCACAAATCAATCAAGTGATACACAGTATCCTCAAGTCAGCTAAACCTACTACATCAAAACAGACATTCCACCTGTTTCCAGGATTAACATATGTTTTCATTTCATCCTCTACTTTGAAGGTTCTCTAGCTTTTCTCTAACAAAAAGAGGTAAACACATTTTGAGACAGATAGAAAGCGGCACAGAATTGTGAGTAAACTCTACTATGACACTGATTTCTCAGAAATCAAAGGCCTGTGGCATTTTGGCTCTTCAGAAATCTCATGACATCCCTCTCTCTACCTCGAAATTTTATTTCCCCCTTCCAAGGTGTTAAGTTTCCTCAGCACTACGTAGCCACAGCACAGGCACTAACAGCACTAACCAGTATGTGCCTGTTCTAAATGCTATCAGAGAGGTAGAAAATCTAGAAAGATGATGTCCTGCCCAGAAGTCACACCTTTTACTGCACTAAAATACAGTACTACAGCAAACAGATCACCTTGCATAGTATGTCTTCCAGTTGCACGCTATTGAAATGAGCTGAAGCATGAGTTGGACGCAAGACAATTTGAGAAAAACCTCTGCTGGTTCCCAGTAGAGCTGTGCTGGACCATACTCAATCAGGAACTCCATCATCTCTACAATCTGCTCATGAGTATACGAACAGGCCTGCAGGGAAGCAAGTTAGAACACCACATCAAGCAAATGCAAGAATGCACACCAAGTCCTCCCCTGCCGGGATTTAACTGTTTTATTCCCCAAGTATAAAAGAATACAGTAACTATCACTATAATATACAATAATAATTTTAAGAATAACATACTTTAAGTTTCTTTGCAGTCCTAGAAGCCTTAGGTCAGTTTAAGAAGAAAAATTACATCAAATGAAACTTCTACTTTGTTTTTAAGCTACTAATCTAGTAGTTACTAGACCATCATTCAAAATAAATTTCTGCTATAAAATAAAAAAGGCTGCAAAAAATAATTACAGTTTCTCAGTTCTGACTACAAAACAAAAAAAATGTAAATTCCTAACAAGCTTGCCTTTCAAGAATTTTTATTTTTAAGATTACATAAGAAGGTGACAGCTTATACATATTTCTTTTTTTACTGAAAATAAGTGATTTTTGCAGCATCAAAAAACCCTTTATGTTTTCTTATTTCAGATCTTCTAGAATACCATCATAAATTAAACCAGAAATCACAGGTGAATGCTCCCTCAAAACAAGCAGCCATAAAATTCAGTTTAAACAAACAAACAAAAAAATCACATTGCAGGGAGAAAGTAATTTTAAAAAAATCATGGCCAACACAAGAATCTCGCAGGTTATTCCTAAAAACCATGGTGGTCCAAAAGACATTTCTGTTGTCATTATCAAATCAAACTTATTTCCAAGTTTGTCAACATTATGCACTTTTCTATGCATACCGATTCTGTCCTTTCGAAGATTAAAAGAACAGGAAAACCCACAGGTATCAAAAATAACCTGCCCTTAACTTAAGTTTTTGAAATATGGAAAGGGAATCACAGCAGATGAGCAGGAAACCTTAATGCGATGTAGTTCAGAGGAACCTCAAAGGCTCTTCTGTATTTTTCTATTACTGTCATTCCACAAGGCAGGAAAAAAGTACAAATAAAAAATTCCTATCCCTATAAATAGCACACTGCCTAGTTATTCCACTGGCTTCAAAGGACATCCACATTTTCCTGCAGCTTGGATTTGCTTGAAAAATGCACCACGTTAAAAGCTTGCAACATGCTACTCACCTTGTAGGGGGGCTGCGGATGGACCAGAATGCCACCTTCAGTGCGCTGGAGTGACTGCTTCACCTGTTCAAGTTTGATAGCAAGGTGAGCCTCAAAGTATCTACGCAAAGCCATGCAGGTGTGTTTCCCAGTCTGGCGACTGGCAAAGATCTCATCATCACTCAGGAGGGCTCCTTGGTCTTCCAGGTTTAAGATCTCAAGAGTGCTTATCTTCAGAAAGAGATTGGGTGGAAGAAAAAAAATAAAGTTTCATCAGCTTACCCTTCAGGAAAAGGCACCTATAGTTTTCAGCTGCGCTTGTACCAAACCCAAACAAACTTACTTTGCTATACAGGACATACAAGCACACTCTGAAAGCTGATAAAAGCTGTCCGAACAGAAAAGGCCATCTGAATGGATAAATATTAAGTCTTAAAAGAACCATTCCCCCTCCTTATATTACACAACACAAAGTGTGCTTACACCCTGCAGTGCTAATGTCCCCGAGCTAGGTACAACCCAGGCTATTGGGACTGCAGAGCAATATCATGCAAAGGTACCAGCTTTTGTACATAAACAGTAAAATTTCTCCTAAGACACGGTGGTTACCACAGCACAAACATAGCTGTACCTCTCCTGGAACCAGTCTGGATTTATCTACATCCATAATGGTGCAGAACAATACCACACATGTATGTGGAATGGTAAGAAACATCTGAACTACCACTAAGCTACCACTGTTGGAATATGTAGTGCTTAACCCAGAAGTTGCACCAAAAAGCTCTCAAAATATTAGCAAGTCTCTGGACAATAAACACATTAAGAAGAAAAATAAAAGAGATCCACGTGTATGTTGCTTAGAAAACTCATGTCATCTCTCCATCTCTTGGGAGCTGAGGAGGAAAAAAAAACAAGCAAAACCAAAGAAAGAACAGAACTCTCCACAGTTGCACTGTAAAGGATGCAAAACCTGACACTAAAACCCAGTTCACCACATAAAACTACAAGCCTTACCAGGTTAACCAGACGTCGAAGGCCATCATGCCTGTCAAAGAGCTCCAGGACAGCACGGAAGGAGAAGCAAATGGAGAAGAACATGGTAGCATGGCAGCAGCCCGAGGCATGGGAGCACTCCATTAGCCATAAGGTGTAGTTTACTACATCTGAAAGCACATTGTGGGGGTGCATGCACACCTAGAAAGCAAAAGAACATTCTTGAGAAGGACTTCAAACAGATTGCTAAGGAGAATTCGTCCAAGGAGAATAAGAGTTCTGAGGGGCAAACATGTTACTCCCACAGCTTGACTTGGGACATCAGAGACAGGAAATAAAAAGTCCCATTTCCAGAGCAGTAAAAGAAACCCTTGTGAGACTAATAAAGACTATGATGTGGCAATGGAGGACTAGCAATTGGTCCATTCCCAGACCTAAACAGAATAAATACAGCAGTCAGTGTAGTGTAATTCCAGAGTCCTTCTCCATACCACTTCAAGCTATCCAAAGAATTATAGCTAGAGGCAGAGAAGGAAGGGAAGTTTCCACTAAAGAAACAAAAATTCTTCTCAGTGTAACAGTATCATATGCTAGGTTGAAGTTCTGGCAAACCTTGGTAGCACTGAAGTCTAGGGGAATTGAAAGGATCATCAAATGCAAATCTAAACCATGACCTTCTCTGGAAATACACAACTGAGCTGGTCTTTTTCTTCACTGCCTCTGAGATGTGCAGACCATGTCCTCAGAATTGCACTAGTGCATACATTTGTCAGCTTCCAGTGATGAGGAACCCTCAGAACCCTCTGCCAGGGTCAGCACTGAGAGGAACAGCAGAACACTGTATGCCAGCTGCTATATGCCAGGTCAGCAGATTCGTCCCTTCTCTGCTGGTGTTAGACATACTCAGAGAACACAGCGCTACCAGCTCCAGACTTGCTTCCACCCCAAATCCCAAGGCTTGGCATAGACTAAGTGACAAGGGACTGCTCCTTGAAACTGGCTTCCTCTGAAATCCAAAGACAAGAGGAGTGTACCACAGAAACCTGCTCTACCTAGTACCTGTAGATATTGTGGGTAACATCTGGTAGATGGGACAATGTCACTACAAAACAGCTGCATGGTTTTATCACATGGCCCAAGAATGTCAAGCAGAAGGAATGAAATGCTCATGCAGCACCCTGCCACGGCTTTTGGTTTTCCTTTTAGACTACTATAAGTAGCAAAAGGAATCAGAGGAAAAAAAAAAAAAGGGAAAAAAAAGGAGCATAAAGAGCTTTCTCATTACAAAGTTCAGAGAAACATGAAAGCAGGTCATAATGCAGCCAAGGTCCATCCTTCTGACGTAATGGGCAAAAAGAAGTGGAGGGAACATTATTCCCATTTCACCTTTCTTAAGGGAGATGCAATACAGGATACAGACAGCCCTGATCAACCACGATTACCAAAATGTTTTTGAATTCACTCATAAATGCCTGCAGAACACAAATGCCAGCAGAATCCATACAGATACGGCCTTAAAGAACCATTAGCAGTCCAGCCTCTACATGCTCAGGAGTGTTAAGCATGTTAAATCACAACACACATTCAGACAGCATCAAAAACTAGAAATAAAGTAAGCAAAAATGTACAGTTACAAGTTTAACTGCTTCCATTTTCAGCTGAAAAAACCCCACAGTAGTAGACAATGCCAGGGACAGGCTAGGAATCGAAAGCCATCACTCAGAGCAGAGTTGGAAGGCTTAAGGCTACAACTTTGCAGTTACTTTGAATGAATCTTAAAGCAGGATGGTCCCATATGCCAGTACTAATGCTCACAAGCTGAGAGGTTTTTTTGGTTGTTGGTTTGTTGTTTGGGTTTTTTTTTTGGCATAGTAGCAACTTTAGAATAAATTGTATCAGTTTGTAGGTCTGGCTCAGCATGCACGTGCTGCTGCTAGTACAAAAAAATAAAAAAGGAAATAGAATCGCTGTTTAAAGCAGCTGGAAAATTGAAGCTTAAGGATAGACAGCTGTATCAACCTGTCTGAAGGGATGCTTGCTGGAGGAAGATTACTAAACTGAGAGAAGGATACCTTTTAAGAACTTTTTTTCTATGTTAAAATATGAGGTGAGGAACTTTACCTTTATTATCAGCTGTTTTAACAGTTATAAGCTCAGGCCACAGACAACCCTTAGTGTCATTTAATTTGATGTTCTGAACAAGGCAGACCAAATCTGCATCGGTCTTCTGCACTCTAACATCACCACAGAAGGAATGCTGCTGTCTGGGATCTGACCGAGGCACTGTGTAACACAGAAGCTATCCACACAGGGACTGCACATAGAAGCAGCAACCTCAGGTATAAGAGTCAACTGGAACAGGCGGGAAAGGAAAGACAAATGAGAATGGAGGAGTTTTTACTATTTTTTTTTCTTTGAGGAAAGAGGAAAGAAGAGGATGAAGAGGGTGATGAAAGTATTGAGACAATGACAACAAGACAGAGGTCTTCAGTTAATTCCCTAGGAACAGAAATCCACACCCTTGAAATAAAACACTCAAAACACACCATTATTTATATGCTTCCTATTGCCTCTGCACATACCAGAGCCTTCTATATAAATTTGCTTTTTGGCTTAGGAAAAGTTTATTCACTGTTTGAACATATGTAGAAACACTAAGAAACGATGGGAATCGCTGCAGTTACAGTAGAAGAATGCCTCTTACCCTCTCCATTGCATCTTGATTGTAAGACAAATAATATAAGCACATGGAGACCCCTGTTGCTGCCATGGAAGGACGAGGAATCTCCAGCAACTTTTGCACTCCTCCATGAGCAACAAACTCCGTTGCAAACTTGTTGTGCAGCAGCAATGATGCCAAATGCTAAGAAGGATAAAAGCAGATTAGACTGGAATTCTTCAAACTGTCATCAGTTCCATCCCCCACCCCATAGAAAAACAGATGGCAGAAAAAACAAGCACTCCACGCTTTGTCCACTTATTTCCTCCTCCCATTATATTTAACTGCAGAATGTAGTATTTATCCCAATGACAAAAGCAAAAAAGGCACTATCACTTTGTTTTACACATCTTGCCAAAGAAATACAAGAAAAGCAGAGCAACTCAGAAATTATTCAATAGGCCACCTTAAGTCTTCCTATTCTTTTCATATTAAATCACTTTCTATTATCACTAATAGATATTTAAATTTGCATTCACATTTTGTATATACCATACTGCTGGCAAGAATAATTTTACAAAATGAAGTTTAAAGGCTATTGTTAAAACAGAAGGTTGCAGCTGCACTGAGGTTTACTACACACTACTTTTGTGTATTATCAACACCTTAAGAGTAAACAGTAAGAACCATTGTAAACCCCACTCCACTCCCAACTCAGGTAATCTACACCTTTTGTAGGAACACTGCTCCTTGGAAATAAATTCTCAGACAATGAAAATGAAACTGAAAGATGACACTGGAGGATCAGAGGCAGAGAAGTTACTGTTAAAAAGGGAAAGTATACACAGAAAAATATAGCTTGTACTGCTGCACTGCAGGTTATTTTGTGTGGTTTTGTACCTCAGGGAGGTAACCTTAAAGACTACTCACACAAAACTACTGTATTTCAAACATTAAGCTCAGAGATGTCATGCTGGGAATTCTGGGAGTAAGATGCTTATGCTTCTTAACCCTTACAAATGTCCCTTGAGATGACAGGCAGTGGAACAACTCAGGAATTCCATCTAAGGACAGCAGGAACACAAGCATTTAACAGAAAAAGGAATTTTTATCATCTTCAGATAGGCAAATGGCAGGTCAAATTAATGGTACTTCCTGCACAATTAAGATCTTTTTTATCCCCTCCCCTCTTTCTTTTTATTTTAAATACTCGAGAGTTATATAAACAAAACTGCAATGCATTCAAGTTGCATGAAAGACAAATCCAATCCCAGGGAATGCTGCAAGATACACAGACCTAAAGAAGGTGAGCATTTGCCTTTGACGCATGAGGCACATGTATATTCAATGTTTTTACAATGTTTATGGTACATTTTATGCATTATGAAAGTAATTTACCTTAAGGGCTTCAAAAGTGAGCAGCACATCATTGGTTCGCTTCAAATCGATGTAGTACATCATCAGTTCCCTTGATCCCAGTTGCATAAAGATGGGCAGTAGCTGAGAAAAATAAAATTGGGAGACTAGCTGAATGTTTCATGGGAAATACAAGGTCTGTTTTGGTTTTTACTCTCTCAAACCCCCAGTTTTCCCCTATTAGCAGATACCTGTTATGAGAGGTCAGTGGTAACCAGCTCCATCCATAGGAAGCAATAAAGGTTAACAGACCTCTTGTAATACATCTGCTGACTGCAGCAAGGTGCATGACAGCTGCCACACGGAAATCTTAAGACTCTCCTTCAAGTGCGGCTATGGCATGTCCACACAGATACCACCCTGGCGATAGGTTCCACTTTCCATCTGTGCAAAGACAACTACCCAACAACTGAACAGAAAAAACAGGAGAGCAGGGCAACAAACCAAAACCCTTCGATAATTCTTTGTGTAACCACTTTATAGTATTAATTCCCATTTTTATATCCTATTATTGCTGGCATATGAAGTGATCCAGTCAGCATGCAGCGTATTAGAGAGATAATAGTTTCTTTGGCTCTCAAAGAAGCAAGGCACACACGTGCACACACACAATATGTCACAAAGCAAAACTGTGTTGCTTTGTTCTACTTCACATTAAGCTAAAGCACCTTAAAAAAGGTTAAGAGAGATAAAGGTGGCCTGCAGACCTATACCAACTTGAGTTTTATGGTTAAAAAAAAAGGAAAAAGGAAAAACATTTTGAAAAGTCTGACACTGCCCTACTTTGTCCATGTAAGTAACAACAGCTCTCAAAAGCATCTGCATAACATGGGCACTGCTATTTCTCATCAGAACTACTGCAGAGGTTACACAAACCACTTCATTTAGAATTTAAAGTTCATTATTTCCTCAGACTTTTAATTGCAGAAGTCTGTCACATCCCCCAGAGGAAAAAGGAATAACGTCTGTATTTCAAACAAAGTGACTTGCCCTGTTCATGTAAACAATCACAAAATTTAACAGAAACCAGGAATGAAATTGCTAGTGCCATGCTCCAACTACTAGACCACACACCTGTTAGGTTCAGGTTTGAGTATTACCTACCAAGTAATACTCAAACTATGACTTCATCAGTTTGAAAGTCATCAACAACTCAGAAAAGGTTCCTGATCTCAATCATATCAGGAAACATCAGAGCGATGTAATGATTCTGCCAATTCTTCCCCACAATTCCACTCACAGTTTTGTCAGGAAAATTCAAGCACAGAGTGCTTCCTCCCACCTTCATATGCTCACCTCTTGATACTCCCCTAAGGGAGTCAGGTACTGAAGAATTAGCCTCTGCTCTATGGCAGGAGTCAAAGGGTAAAGTGTATAATTAGTGCCAATCACCCACGGGGACATTTCTGACCAGCTGCTATTGGACAGTTCGACAAACATCCGCTCCGATTCTGAAGCAGAGAAGCCCAGCTTCTGCTTGGCCTTCCGGAAGCCATCTCTTTCATGCTGTTTCCCCGATTTGCTTTTTCTCAGTCCCCCATCATCTAGCTTTGTAGCAGAGTTTACTCTGCTGCTGGTCTTGTGACTTGAATCAAGATGAAAGGAGATATCCATATCACCAGAAACCTCCTCTTGCTCTCCATCTACTGCCATCTCCCCATAATCCATATCCACAGCCTCTTCATCTAGAGGCAGCAGAGGATCTGATGGCACTTTCCGAGGACTGGGACGCTTGTTTTCTTGTTTTGTAGTCATTTCAGTAACCTGTAACTCCCGTAGCCGTCGAAGCACCAAAGCCACCTGTTTCAGAGAAGAAGCACGCATGAGAACACACTTCTTGCTTTGATATGCAACTTACATTGGCCATATTTTTTGTTCTTATCACACAAACAACTCCACAGCAGAAAGCGTCAAGTATGTCGTGGTGTACATTTGCCCAGAAAAACAGTGACTTCAAAGTGAATAAGAAACACCAATCCTTTATGCTACAGCTACTTTCATTCTAAAATGTCAGCACCTACTCTCCTGCATGAGAAGGAAATGGCTTGAAAGCCATCAAGAGCAGATGAGCTATATTAGCATCAACAGAACCATATACCAGCTTGCATCATCCATCCATCATCTCTTCCTGGCCTAGAATAAAGGCAACATTCCCTTTTGAAGCAGCAGCTTTGATAAACTGCAGTTCCACAAAACCTAAGGTCACACTTTCACTTTTAAAGGCCTGAGTTCTGCAAGAATTAGAATGCACCTATGCTTCAACACGCTGTACACTGTCCTGGAAGACAAAGTTGCCTATCCTGCCTTCTTCCAAAAGTCATCTTGATTGCTGATAATCATCATACAGAATCAACACTAAACCAGCAAAAGGTTTGGAAGTGATGTGAATGCAATTTCATATTAAGTTGTCCCCATGTTGATTTACCTTTAATTTTAAAATCCTGTCTGGTACATAAAATCACAACATATGATAGTTACAGATGTAAAGCTTCTGAAAATTTTTCTTTAAGGAAGGTGTAAGTCCCATTAAGAAGTATAGTATTTGCCTTCTTAAGTTTCCATTCGCATTTTTAACACAACTGGTATGACAGAATAATCAGGCCACATGCCCGTCTTAGCAAATGCACGGTCAGGAAAGGATGGAAAGTATGAGCTACTGACTCTTACAGATATTATTACAACCACTGTAAGACCCATATATTAACTCATGAATGTGAGCTCCCCACAAATTAAAACAAAAGGTACCTGCCCTCTAAAAAAGGGAAGCGATCAAGAGATCATTACCAATTGTGAGTTCTCGTCCCTGTAATTTGCAGCAATATCTTGGTTTTCCATAGCTCCTCCTAACAGTCCTGTTGCGTATGTCCTTAGCGGTTGATCAGCCTCTCGTGCCCACTTAAAGAGATTTTCAACTATGCCTTCCTAGAATGAAACAAATAAGAAAAAAATTACATATAACTACTGGAATTGCTAACTTACTAGTCCCAGTTAAAGCATGTTAGTAACTATTCTCCTTATCTCTAGTAAAGACCATGCTAGATTTCCTACCAATCAGGTAATGAATAAAAAATATCTGGAACCAAAAAGAGAAATAAATCTGACATTTTAAACTGCATAAAACTATTCCCAGGCATCAGATACTTGGAATCAGGATTTGCACACTTGCAAAAGCCTTCTGAAGTGGCCAGACAAGCTACTGCCTAAGAAGCAGCAATTAGTCAAAATAAACAAGCCCAAAGGTCCTGTCAGTTTCACAATATAAATCTCCAGCAATTTATCAGATTTCAAAGAAACTATGTTGAACTTACAGCAAGTAGAATGGAATTTGGCTAAATTTCTTACATTTCACTAGATGTTTACTAGGGCTAAATTAAAAGTCACTTAAATAAGCAAGCTATCTGGTGCCACAGGAACTCTTTACACTGATGACTACTCATCAATCAAAACCATTTCCAACATAGTCAGAAATCCATAATGTTTGCAGAAGAGAGAAATGCATGCAAGTATACTCTGTATATATGTAAATAGTAATGTTAAATATGGTTAATATTTTCAATAGAAACAGTATCAGCAGTGCTCAAACACAGCCCGCCAGGCAACTTTTCTTAACAAGGCTGGATTAAGTGTTGATTAAAAATTAAAACATTCAATTAAAGAGACAATGGTTTAAGAATGAAAGATTCAATTTTTTCCTGTAAATCACTACCAGACTTTGAAACATCATACACCACCACATCATTCTTGTGCACACAATTTGAATCATAGGTACCATACACTAAAAGCTCAGTTAAAAGTAATAATGAATAGACATACATTTCAATGAGAACTCTCATCTTACAGATTTTGAAGAGTAGCCTGCCATATATTTAAAGAACACTGCACTATTCTTTAAATGCTCTGATGTCATTAAACCCCCAGCCGAAGCGCTGCGCGGCCTTGGCCGCCAGAGGGAACCCCCCGCCCGGAGCCAGCCTAGAGCTACCGGGGTCGCAGGAGGCAGCCAGTCAACAGCAAGCAAGCCCTGCAGCGCAAAACTTAACTTAAAAAATGAATTTCAATTCACTGAGAGACCTAGTCCCTGAAAAAAAAAGCTATATCCTCCATAAATAGGGAACTATGGATCCGAAAAAATTCAAAGCAAAACAGTCTCAGATTGGACAGATCACAAAGATCTGAAATTAAATTCAATCCTTCACAAAAAGGAGAACATTTTTTTCCTTCTACCACACTTTAGAGTTCATACCCATATTTCCAACACTAAAGAAATTAACTTAGAACTCTTATATAAAGCACTAGCTGATTTCCAAACTTCAGAAAAACATTACTGTCATTTTTACAGATGAGGAAACTGTGGCTCAGGAATGAAATCGACTTTCTCCTTCCTCACTTTCAACTCTCTGAAAACTGCGCTTGCCAATACACAGAAGTCTGATTCAGCTGCCCATCACAGTTCCAGATAATCCCCACAAAGCACGTGGATTTTAGACTGCTTAGTTCAAGTATGACTTGCTTATCACTTGGCTCTATTAATGCTATCGCTTTGCTGTAGCTGGGGATTACTGGGCAAGACTCCTACAGCAAGTCTTCAGGTTCTACACAGCCTGCTCTATTGACAGGCCTATAAAGTAACAATTCAAATTATAATATTTCCCAAAACATTACATAAAGTTCCGGCTCCTCGGTTTGAATCAGACCTGTTACACTTAAAAGCTGTGAAATACCCAAGATTTGATCAGTCCAATGAGCCAAGATCAAAGAAGCCCAAAACCGTTAGTAAGAATGAATAGATTGTCTCTCAGAGACAGGATTTCAATGTGGCTCTTTACTGTTTTCGCCTATGGGAAGAACTGTTGGAGTACATAACACAGCAAGCTTAAAAACCAAGCCTTAGTACAGATGATACCTTTTCCTGAAAGACAACAGCTGTCTCCAGTCCCGGCATGATATCCAGAAGAAGTCGGCAGGCAGCAGTGTTTAATGGAGGTTCTCTGCTTGTCATCACATAAGCATTCACTAGCTAGAGAAGACCAGGAACAGCATTTGTTTGAAATTCAACTCTGACAAAAACTAGTGCAGTGAAAGCCTTACAACTCCCACAACAGCAAAATGATAAAGTAAGAAATGTCAGTACGTAAGCTCTGGGTCTCATGATGACTAGCCTTTAACTGGCTCCCTCCACTGCCTCCAAAGTTGAAATTACTTGTCAGAGAAACAGCATTCCCCTCTGATCTGCTGTTCACTGACCAAATGCCTATCTTGAACTGATTTGTAAAGACAAATGCCTAAAAAAAAAATGCAGTTTAGTAACAGTGTAAACATGAAAAGGTAATAACTAAAAAAACCACAAACCTATAAAAAATTGCACATTTTTAATGGCATCTATGTTTGCTTGTTGCTGTTTAAGACAGAAAGCTACATGTAAGCAATCTGTCAGAATCCTTATAGCAATGTGTACTGACACAGGTGCTTGCTGGGAAGTAAGGGTAACAAAAATTCCAGCTATTAACTCACATTCGACTACAGCAACTCAAGAAGAAAGCCAGATTTGCCTCCTAATTCTCTGCCTGAGTCTTCTAGAGCTGACATACCTGTCTGCTCCTACAGGCAGTCCAGCATTTGCAAGCATTCAGAGACAAGGCACTGGAATTAGTGGTACTAATTTCCATTACAGAAATTAAAGAAAATGTAGCTCCTCTAATACAAGTTTAAAAGCATAATTAAAGGGACTGATAAACCTTGAGAAGTACTAATTCAGTGGTTGCTACACATATTCCAGCAATCCCAAACAGCTCATGAACTCCCCTTTCCTTGAGTCACTTTAACAGTGGCAAATGAGTTGCACTTAAACCCATTCTAAAAACCACTGCTATGGAAGAGATAGACCCAACACCAGTGAAACAAATATTAAACAAGTACTGAGGTCAACCAGCACAGAGTAAACAAAAACCACAAGAAAGTGCCAGGAAATTGGAAGATACAGTTCCCAGAGCAAACCTACCGCATTCATGAAATCGTCATTCTTGAAAAGTATCCTCAGTAAGTGACCAAGCATGCACTCTGGGTCTGCTCGACCTGTGGGAGAAACAGGAAAAGACATTTACCTACCTACCTCAAGATGTCAAGATTAATACTGAACTGCTATCTTCAATTGATTGTGGAGTACATTAGTTAGCAGGACCTTTCTCAGAATGAAAACTACAAAATAAATCATGTGAATTATTCATTGATTTAACATTTTTTCTAGCAGGCATTACCTCCCTTGAATGCCTACTAGTCAAAACACAAGGCATTTTAGAGGTCCAATAGTATTGAACCATCATCTTTGTAGACAGTGAAGACGTAGATGCCAGTCAAACTGCTCCAGTAACCCGGAAATGTCATCTCCAAAAAAAAAAAAAAAAAAAAAAAGGTAAAGCACAGCACTGACTCAACAGCAAATTCAAGATCATCTGAGACAGTCTTCTCTGTCCACCTAACACCTACTACCTCACATTAACTACAACTTGTTAACATGACCACACCCTGATGTCATAAATCAACCTGTGAAACACTCTTCCCAAACTCTACCCAGGGCCTCAAAATCTTGCATCAAAACTGCCAGATATCAGCACCAGAGAGCACAATTACCCAGTGCAGAAGCGGTATCAGACCTTGATCAGCAGTGAGCACGCTCAGGCTAAAAATTGTTTACTCTTAAATATGAATTACCAGGTATCCATTGTGACAGAGTTGGTGCTGCCAAAACCATTCAGGACATCTTACCTGGGTGTCGGTCATCAAACGGGTCTGGATCCCCTTTGCGATACTCTTCAGTCTCCTTCTCAATCAGCTCGGACATTCTGCAGAAGGAACAACATCAGATGAGTAGAATGCACATTTGGTCTTCTCTTAGTGCAGAGCTCCTCATAACAGCCTATCTGTCAAAGTACTATAAAACCACTCATCAACTTTCACTTGAACAGTATGCAGTGCCACCAAAGGATTTCAGACTGCTCACAACAGAGGGCTGAGAAAAGAGACTCGCCTCTAATACCTCACCCCGCCCACACTGTGCTCCATAACATGCTGAATCAATATCAACATCCCAGTGATGCACAAGCATGACACTTGGGAGGAGTCAACATCTTTTATTTACTCATGTTAGAGTCCTGGTGATGTTCTACAGCACACACCATAGAGAAATAAATAAAGGACTTCAGTAGCACTTCTCACCTTCACATAGTATTTCTTTTGCAGTAGAGTAAGTCCTGAACACATGCCTTAGTCATCCCACCTATTCAGCACAGGAAGCTGCTCAAACTGCCTACACAATTTTTTGATAATTTTTGCATATTAAATTTTAATAATATTGTGTAATAAAAGGATTTAATATTTAATAAAATGCTGTGTAATCTCTGTTCAGTTTATCCTTTTAACTCCAAAGTTTAACTTTTTAGCATGTGTCAGCGCAACGGAGAAGACAAGGAGAAACTCAGCCAGCTCCCTATTCATAGACCATCAAAATACATTAAATGCTCCTCCATATCTGAAAAAAAGAAGGCTGTTTAGAAGCTATGCCTTCTCCTAAACTGAGAAGCAGCCTCAGCAGACACAAGTAATCCTATGCTCCAATTCACTTAGAATGAGTAGTAAGGGAATTAATTATTATTTTTATTTAAACAAAATCAAGAGGGAGATTATCTCATGGTCAAGCAATAAATAATTCCATAATCATCCACGGTCTTTCTCCATGAGGTGTTACAGCAGAAATATATGCAGTTTGAGGTAAAATAAAGAGCGGTATTAAAAAAAAATAGTAAATTAAATCTTATTTCCTTGGTATAAAACCTCATTCCCTCCCCTCTACTGAGGTCAAGAGTGCAGTGCAGAATCTTTGTGCAGCACAGCATTTTAAAATAAAGTCTTAATACTTCATGGTAGCGATCTAGGCAGAGGTTATTATAGGAGAGGGAAAACTGCTGGAAGGCTGCAGTAATCCCTGGAAAAATATTTGTCTTTCGCAGAGGATTTCCCTTACAGAATGCCACTAACTTCTACTCCATTCCTGTTACTTTCCAGAAAATATCCTGTGGTCCCAGAGACAATTAGAGGCAAAAATGTACTCAGTCCTGCCTCTGTGAACTACGCTGACTTGCCAGTATGACAGAGGATCATGTTATGAAGCCTGCCCAGATTGCAGGAACAGCAAATTAGCTAATCAGAAATGAGCAGAGAACTTTCCTGCTTGTCTCTGATCTGACAATTATCTTTCAGCAAACTGTTTATCCTGTGGGGTTCTAATATTTACTTTTAGTAAGCCTGAATGTGAAGAGATGCAAATTGTGTCCCTTGCTAACAGGTGGCACAGCTTGAGTTCTCATGAATTTCTGGCACAAGCGAGTTCCTTAAATACTTCACTGCCAGCTCCTCTTTTTTTCCCTGAGAACTAATAGCTTGAGGGGTGCCTTCTGACAGACAACTGGGACACATGGGGAGTTGAGAGGCTGCACCCTAGACTTGTCATGTCTTTTTAGGTGATAATCAGCGTTTTGATCATGTGCCAGAAAGGACAGACAAGCAGTACAGAAAATGAGCATAACATTCTCATCAGTCCACCCCGTTTAGGTAGGCCGCCAAACAGCATGCCCACTGAAGCTGCCGAGTGGTTTCAGGGCAACAACATTATCACAGCCTAGATGAAACAGGCATGTGAATCAGCGATTACGGGGGGGTTTGAGACAATTAGTCACAACTGTTTGACCAAAATAAAAAAAGCACTGCCTCTTTAAAACTGACTTTCAACAAGAAAAAAAATATCAAGCTTGCTTACAATACCCTTCTTTTAATTAATACATACAAAGGTGGTTGTGAAGTGACTTGGATGAATCTATCTAGATCAACAGCTTTGTCAGTTCTCAGTTGAAACCACAGGAGAGTCAAATAACTAACAAAGCTCATTCCTGCCTCGTAACACAGGCATGTGGTACACAGGGCTTTAACAAAAACCAATTCACAGAAACACTGAACTTCTATTCAGGTTTCAGGATTTCCTTCATTCACTTGGCATTATATTGGGTCTCTAGCCACTTCAGAGTCTGCAGACAAGATCTAGGTTTTACATGGGGGGAGGGGTTCTTACCCCTCACTTCTAATTTTTTTTTCTCTTTACAACCGTCTTTGCAATCATCTATGGAAAGTTAGTCAGACATCACCTTCACTTGCCACAAACTGAGCTCACCTTGGGGGTGGGAAAAGAAGGAGCAGTGGTATACATAAAAGTATGTCAATTCTACAAGACCCCCAGTGATCTAGATGGCATAATATAAAGCCACCCTATTATTGCTCTATGCCATCACCTGGCATTAATGACCAATAAGCCTTTACAACAGCATAAGATGCTCTAGGATCCTGTACCACAACATGCTCAGTTTGTGGAGAATGAAGTATAGTGTTAAGCTGCTGAATTACTCCCTTTACAAAAGAGGCTCTTGGGATGTAATGAAGGACCTGACTTCCAGGATTGGCCAGAATGACTGAACATCACTTGCATCCAGACTATGAACTAATGCTCTTGCAGGATCTTTTCAATTTACAGTATTTTTGGAAACCATATATATTAAATATCTGTTGTTGTTGACACACTTTCCAAGCAATTTCTTCAATTCAATACCTTCAGACACTCCAGAGTTCATAAATCCAGAAAACCAGCTTATTTGGAAGTGATGATCCAGCTGTGGCCCATAAGCCATACTGTTACTGATCTTGTCCTATTACTGTTGAAACACTCACTACTGCACTCTCACATACGCTGCCTCGGCATCACATTTAACGGACCCCCATCCACACAGGAAACTTTTCTTCCACTTAGCTCAGAAGGTGGAAGGAAGTAGAAAAATGTCACTCACCAGCAAGCATGACCACAGCTTCCTCTGCCTTAAGGCTAAAACAACATGCAAAGGCATTACTCTGCCTCAGGACATCAACTAACACAAGCTCCAGTTGGTGAGGATTCCTAGCATCTCTTCCAGCAAATTTTTTTAAACCTATGCTGTATCTAAAAACTCTCTACTCTAAACCAACATATGCCTTTCATTGACACCTGGAACACTGTAAATCTAACTTTTGCCAGAGCCAGTGAATTCCCTTGATATCTACCTTAAATATACCTGTATTATCTCCACTAAAGCCAAAATACCCAAGCTTTTACCATCCATAACCACTCTGACTTTTAGAGAAACAAAGGAAAGTTATCAAACTTGTCTGGGCATAAGTAATGAAGGGAACTCAAGGAGCTGAGGGGGAGCAAGAAGTGCCAGACTGCTATAAACACAAGAAAATATGTGTTTAATTCAAATGTCTTTAGATTTCTTAGAATATAGTAAATTTCTACTGTTTATGCCTTCAAGAAAAAGCCATGAAATAGCACATATGTTTCCTTTAAGACACAAATCACACAACATACAAAGATACGCCAAAACACATCTCTTTCAAGAGACCTACTCATTGTCGAGTGTTTAGGATCAGCTTTCTGCTGCTCATCTCCTGCTGCTATTTTTAAAACGTATTAAGAACAGCAAAAAAGTTGTACCCACTAGGTGAGGCATTGGCACAGCTCTGTGCCAAGAAGCTCCACCAGATTCTTGTTACTTCCACCCAGTGCAAGCTCAGAATCTGTGCGCTGACTTGTCTAAGCAAGCAACATAGAGCAGTGCAGTACAGAAGCCTGGACTGCTCTTAATGTACAAGGGCAGTTGAGTCCTCCTGCATGTGCTAGGCAGGCTACAGATGTGCCAGCAGAGGTGCAAGATGGAATTGAGTAGAATTTCTGTGAATTTCTTGTTAAAGCAAAAGTAATATCAGTTTATCTGAGAGAGGCCTGGCTTGGGAAACCACAAATGCAATTGATAATTCAAATATTTCTCTTGTAACAGAAGAAGTCTTATAATTAATGGTGTTACTAGTCCCTACACATCTCTTAAAAGTAATTTATTGGTCCAGGGAATACTTTCCTTACACATATGGTACAATGTCAGTCAATCAACATCCAGTTTAAAAAAAAAAATTAATCAAGTTTTTAAATTTTGCTTTAAATATTCCCTGTGATTGTCAATAAAATCTTCTCAATATAATCCCTTTGATTCATCCAAAGAGTTGCTCTTATCCTTTCATTTAATGTGACTAATGTTACTACAGTCACAAACTCCACACCACCACTCTGATGGAACAACATTCTCATAGCTTTTGATCTTGATCGAGGTTTTACAAGCTTCAGGTGAAGATACCAAAGTTATTTCAACTATTTAATTATTTCCCTGACTTCTATTATTTCAGATAATTAAATTCATGTTTTAGAGACAGTCTGTGTAAGATCTTTGAAATATATACTTCTTACCAAGAACTGTATTTAAATATCACACTTATAGTTCAACTTCCAGACCAAGAAAATTAATTACCAACAGGTAATCAGGTATGTAAAAATCTCAAGCAAAAGCTTGGTAAAAGCTGCTGTCAAGGTACTTCAGACGGTCAGATTTAGGAATTTATTTAATTGATCTTACCTGGTGAGAATAGGGACCATGTCTTGCCCGCTGCCATGTTCTTTCTCCCATTGCTCAAGCAAAGCAGTGAGCTCAGCCTTGGAGTCCACATGCCCAGATCCTGAAGTCATGGCTTAGCCTAAGGCAGAGGTAACAAAAAAGAAAAAAAAAGGGGTGGGTGTGTGTGTCAGAAAAATGAGCAAGAAATCCCACACAGTTTTGCTGTAGTAATTGAAATAATCTAAATCAAAGATTACAAATCATTTGGAAGAGGCAAGTAAATACTCAGCAACAAGGAAGCAGAAAGAAGAGAGAAAAGTAAGTGAGAATACTGCTGAACCTCACTTTCCAAGTTAAAAGTTTCTTTTTGGTCTTTTGCCTGAAGAATAAAGAACATGCGCACACTTGGAACACAAGTCTTAACTGGTGTATGACTGCCCTGACCATGATGGGAAGTATGCACACCTAACCACAAGCGTGTTCAGTACTGTAGCTTTTCAAAACCCTACCCGAGTTCCATGAGCAGACAAGAGTTAGTCCTATGCTGTTGCTCAGGGATTTACTCAGGAAACAACAAAGCTAGGGCAGAAGATTATGATCAGTATCATTATTCCAGTTTAACACCTTCCAGACAGCAGTGAAAGTGCCAAGAATCGTATTAGCTTCACACTGCCAAGGAGGCAGAAGGCAGCAGCATTGAGCAGCTGCAGGCAGTGGAAAGAGCACCACAAGAGCGGTACTTGGGAAACAGAGCAGGTCGCACATCACTACTTGTTCAAGGTTTCCAAGAAGTCAGTGGCTCTAGTAAGAAGGAAGAATGATCACAGGAGGGAGCACTGGAGCAATTAATTCAAGTTTATCAGCCTTTACTTGCAAGACAGCAGCTAACAGATTTATCTTCCCATCCTCAAAAGTGAGATCCCCCTGCAGTACTGAGTGATTTAATGCAGGGAACGATCACTCCAGATTCTGCTTAAGCTCTAAATTTTCAAGTGTCAATTCTTGTCAGCCTGATAAAAATCTACTGGAAATATTAACAGACTAAGCTAGAAAAAAATCTGTCCAAAACACTGCCATGCTCTTAGTTTCCAATCTGACAGACTGATTGCTGTGAAGAGTTGTAACTTCCGGAGGAAAGCAATCCCAATTTGTAAATTGACCTTGTATTGGATATGCATGTAGGACTCAAAGCAAAAGAAATTCCTTCATGCCCCCAAATGACAAAAATTTCCAGCATGTCATTAGCCATAACGTGGCAAATATCCATCTGCCATGAGATTAAACACCCATTTGTCATAACTGACCCAGAGAAGGACCACCCAAAGCAATGTTAAGTATAGGTATGCTTAAGACAGCAACATCAGCTCCTGAAATACTTAATCAAGAATCAGTCAAATGACAGACTATAAAGGGAGTCATAGGTCAGCACAGATTACATAAGCATTTATAGCACAAATTCATTCTGAAATACCTCTAATTGGTTTAAAGCCTTTTCTCACTGAGGGAATGGATGAACAATCCTACAGCTCTATCTCCTGTTTCATAGTTGCTTTTGAACTTAATGTACTGTGACTGGTTAGTTAAGCGGGCGACAAGAAGTGAAGATCACCTGGCTATGATGGAACTGGCAGAATCCACACAAAAATTATAACCCAAAGACTACAGAAAAATAAACCTGTGACTACAAGACACCCAGTGTGAAGAACATCATTTTGGTAAGTACTATACGAAGTGAGCATATGCTAACAAAAAAACTACTTAAGCATAAAGATGATGTTTTCTAAATAACAAGTAATTACGATTTTATCTAGAGCATTCATTATTCATTTATCACGGAACTAGACCGGCAAACGATGCAAATGTACAAATCGTTCTGGAAAATAACGCTACCTAAATGCAGGCAACAAAACATAATGAGATTGTACACACCCCCCCGAAACACCTTTGAAAAGAAAAACTACTCCAAGCACATAAAGATCCATTCCCTTCTTCATTAAGTGAATAACACTTGCCAGCAGCACTTCTGAGCTTTTAAATATCACAGATAAACATTCAGACAAATCTACTCCGAGCCTCAGAATGCAAGCACAGTAACAGCATCTGCATTCAACCATTTCAGACATCTCCCCCTTCATTCTATACCCAAGGGATACAGAAAAAAAGAGCCTGTAAAGGCTCTCCTGCAATCTGAAGAATAGTTTGCTTCCCCTAACACCCCTTCATTATTCCAGCTAGAAAATAAGAAAGGTCTAGCAATACCTGCAACAGTTCAAAACAGTTAGGAAGACCAGAGGAACTGCTCACACAGCCCTCTGGGACACCCAGTGCTATACGACAACCAAGTAAAAATAAAAAATCCCAGTTGTCCCTAAAACCTGCAGTATTCCCTCACTTAAAGTACATGATGGGTCTAAATAACTGGCTCTGACAGAACTATCTTCCTGTAAAAAATTTAAAACATAAAAGCACCACCCTTTCTATAGGTACACAGCAATGAATGAAAATGCCTCACTAAAGCATCTCATCTATTCCAAAGGTTTATCCCTCCCAACTTATTCAAATAAATTTTACTATTATAGACAGAACTGCAAAGAAACGCAACAAGAACTACTCAGAAGCATCTACTTCCACAGTTCTCATATTAATGCACGTTAACAGTAAAATACATACAGATGGAATATTATAGCAGGTGAATGACTTTTTAAATAATAGAACCAAAGCAATTCCTACTGAGCTCACTTTTTCCAAGAATTCAATCTTAAATCAACGTGAAGAATTCTGCAGAATGGACAAGATCATAAACAGTATGAACTAAACTAACTGCCAGAAATATACCCAGCCTGTTGGAGAGGGAGGCCTGCAAGAGCAACTATGACTTTCATTGTTTCCCTTGGACAAGCTGGCGAACAAATTCAATCTTAAATCACTCTTCCAGGAACTAACAGAACAGGGAGTGGGTATCTCATTGTGGATTTAAATTGACAGGCATTTTTAATTTTTTAATAAGTTTTGAAAGTCATGGTCTACCACAGATTTCAATTAGAATATCTAATAAGCTAAGGAATGGATTTATTTTTTTTTTCCCAAACACCACTGTTGTCAAAATATCACACTTAGAATCAATAAAACTGATATTAACAAAACATAAAGCACTTAAAGGACTTGACTTTGAAAGACAAATATTTACAACCTTAACTATCACTGTGAAAACTCCACCAAAAATCCATGTGTGTTTCAGCACACAGTGGTGCACACAGTACTGCTTTAATATTAAATACTACTTAGTATTCCAATATCACAGCAAAGGTTTTGTAAGCATTTGACTCTTCTAAACTCAAGATATAAAAGTTTGAGAGAAAAGGGAAACCCAAAGAAGTATTCAGACACAGAGACCTGGAAGTACTCACATGTTTCTGAAATCTCAGACACCTTAGTGCTTGAGTCACCTTTGTCAGACACCTCTGAACAAAGAAATACAAGTCCCACTAACCTCCAACTGCAAACCTTAATAAGAACACAGTATCATTCAAGTAGTTCAGTTTCACCCTTTTGTTCCTCGAGGTATTTGAGCGTCACACTGACTGCAACACTACTACAGGTCATTCACTTATTGATTTTGTGTTGTGTTTACAAAAAGGGTTATGAGGTTCTGAACACACTCACCTCAATACAGATACACATTTTAAAGTATGAAACCTCTTTGGTGAAAATAAATCTATCTGCAAAAATCCAAACCCCAACAATTTGGTCACTTGTGAAACAAGCACAAAATCCATACTTTAGCAATTTAAATGGAAAATGAAAGAGCCACATAACAAAAATCACACCTTAGGGAAAAAAAATAATTTAATCAACTTCATAGGAAGCCTGCACATTGAAATTCCTATGTGGACAAAAATTATGAGAGGATTGGTACATCCACATGTATAGGTCCAACTCCAATTCTAACTGTACTTTGACATAGCTCAAATAATCAAGTTTCATATAGTTGCTAAACATGATTCTAAGCATGGCTGAGGACACAATGTTGATGAGAAATCTAATGTAATAATATAGCACCTTAAGGGAAAATTAAGAACTCTGAGTTGAAATCTAGTTGGACATAGAGCAAGCTGAGCAGTAAATCTGTACGTTTTTCCATATTTATCTTTTAACACAAAGAATTCCTTAATTTTTTTGAAAAATATCTCCCTCCCATCATAATTGTTCTTCAAATGGATGAGATACCAGACAACTATTTGCCTAAACCTGTTGAGTCTGAAATCACCATGACAAAGTTAATGCTGAAGCATAATGAACTGTCAACACTGAAGTTCACTTGTGAAAGAAAACATGCCACAAACTTACAAAATCTTCACAGTCTACAGAGAATAAAATCGTGTTTTGGTATCATACATAAGTGAAGCTCTGAGGGAAGTCCTCGTTTGTTCGACTTTTGTCCTCATTTGTTTCACTTTAACCCCTAACAGATCGCCAACTGGGCTGTTACTACGAAACATATTCCTAATGTTGCTTTAAATATTTGTTTAAAAATTCATTATTTTTTACAGTTAAAATATTTTTAAGGTCAGGGAAAACCACAAAGTTATTTAGTTTCCTGGAATTTCTGCTTTTAGAAAACAAACCTGGATTTATGTGCTGATCTGCCAAGACAAGCATAAAAAACAGGAACAAACTTCTGTTGTCTACAAAGGAAAGTAAAAAAACCCCACAACGCTCCGTTTCAACATAAATTCCTCTTTACGCGGCTAGAAAGAACAACAAGAGGAGCCCAGCTCCCCGGAGAAGCGCCGCGACTCGTCGAGCAAGAGAAGCGTGTGGCTAATGACAGCTCTCGCAGGGTCTAACACGGCAGGACCACGACGCCAGCAGGCAGGCGCTCGCCGCCGTGCGCCTTGCAGGAGTAGACTGCTCGCCGGGACACAACCGGAAGAACCACCGGCGCTGCCCGTTGAACCGAAGGTTTAACGGTTAGCAAAGGGGGGGTGGGGGAACCCGCCAGAGAGCCACCCCGCCCCCTTCCCGAGCAGGCCCGGCGAAGCGGCGCCTCCGCAGGCCCCGGCGCAGGAGGAAGAGCCCCGCCGGAGGGGGCGGGC